GGCCGGGCTCAGCCCGAAGGAGCGACGTGCTACCATCCTCCCGCAGGCCCACCACCTGCAGGGGGAGCTGTAAGGGGCAGGTGCATTGTGGAATGGGTGGCGGTCGAAGGTTAGGACTACGACAACCCGATCGTCAGGCACAGAAACTGGCTATTGGGACATGGAATGTCACCTCACTTTGAGGAAAGGAGCCCGAACTGCGGTAGGTTGAACGGTACTGACTAGAGAAAGTTGGGCTCACCTCCACGCACAGCTTGGGCTCTGGAACTCAACTTCTTGAAAAGGGGTGGACTTTCCTCTACTCTGGAGTTGCTCACGGCGAGAGGCAGCGGGCTGGTATGGGCTTGCTTATAACTCCCTAACTTAGCCGCCATGTGTTGGAGTTTTCTCTGGTGAATAGGTCTCTCACAGTGGTATGTGCCTACGGGCCAAACACCAATGCAGAGTACCCGGCCTTCTTGGAGTCCTTGGGAGGGGTGCTGGAAGGTGCCCAGACTGAGGACTCCATTGTTCTACTGGGGGACTTCAATGCTCACGTGGGTAATGAAAGTGATACCTGAAGAGGCATGATTGAAAGGAACGGCCTCCCTGATCTGAACCCGAGTGGTGTTTTGTTATTGGACTTCTGTGCTAATCACAGTTTGTCCATAACAAACACCATGTTCAAGCATAAGGCTGTCCATCAGTGCACATGGCACCAGGACACCCTAGGGCGGAGGTCAATGATCGACTTTGTGGTTGTATCATCTGATCTCCGACCGTATGACTTGGACACCCGGGCAAAGAGAGGGGCAGAGCTGTCAACTGATCACCACCTAGTGAAAGCTAGGGAAAGCTGGACAGACCTGGTAGGCCCAAGCGTATTGTGAGGGTCCTCTGGGAACATCTTGCTGAACCTCAAGTCAGAGGGACTTTCAATTCTCACCTCCAGAAGAGCTTTGACCAGATCCCGAGACAGGCTGGAGACATAGTGACTGAGTGGTCAATGTTCTCTGACTCCATTGTTAACGCGGCCGTGAGGAGCTGTGATCGTAAGGTCTGTGGTGCCTGTCAGGGCGGCAATCCACGAACCCGGTGGTGGACATCAGAAGTAAGAGATGCCGTCAAGCTGAAGAAGGAGTCCTACAGGGCTGGGTTGGCTTGCAGGACTCCCGAGACAGCTGATGGGTATCGACAGGCCAATCGTGCTGCAGTCCGGGCAGTTGCGGAAGCAAAAACTCGGGCCTAGGAAGAGTGCATGGAGACCATGGAGTAAGACTATCAGTCGGCCCCAAAGAGATTCTGGCAAACTGTCCAGCGCCTCAGAAGGGGGAAGCAGCTTCACATCGACGCTGTTTACAGCAAAAGTGGGGAGCTGTTGACCTCGACAGGGGATGTTGTTGGGCGATGGAAGGAATACTTTTAGGATCTCCTTAACCCCTCCAACATGTCTTTCATTGAGCAAGCAGAGACTGGGGATGCAGGGGTGGACTCGCCCATCACCCAAGCTGAGGTCACTGAGGTAGTTTGCAAGCTCAGCAGTGGCTAAGCAGCGGGGGTGGATGAGATTCACCCTGTATATCTTAGGTCTCTGGATGTTGTGGGGCTGTCATGGCTAACACATCTTTACAACATCGCATGGAGGTCGGGGACAGTACCTCTGGACTGGGCAACTGGGGTGGTGGTTCCCATTTTTAAGAAGGGGGACCGGAGGGTGTGCTCCAACTATAGGGGGATCACATTCCTCAGCCTCCCAGGGAAAGTCTATGCCAGGGTACTAGAGAGGAGGATCCGGTCAATGGTTAAACCTAGGATCCAGGAGGAACAATGCGGTTTTCGTCCGGGCTGTGGTACACTGGACCAGCTCTATACCCTCACCAGGGTGCTCTAGGGGTTATGGGAGTATGCTCAACCAGTCCACATGTGTTTTGTGGACTCGGAGAAGGCATTTAAACTTGTCCCTCATGGCATTCTGTGGAGGGTGCTCGGGGAGTATGGGGTCAGAGGCAATCTGTTGAGGACCGTCTCGCCCCTGTATGAACAGAGTAGGAGTCTGGTTTGCATGAGCTTTGGATCATGATCAAAAGGACAAGTTCTCGGAGACAAGCAGCCGAAATGAGTTTCCTTCAAAGGGTGGCAGGGCGCACTCTTATGGATAGGATGAGGTGGTCTGACACCCGGGAGGAGCTCAGAGTAGAGTCGCTGCTCCTCCACATCGAGTGGAGTCAGCTGAGGTGGCTCGGGCATCTGTTTCGGATGCTTCCTGGACGCTTACTTAGAAAGGTGTTCCAGGCATGTCCCACCGGGAGGAGGCCTCATGGAAGACCCAGGGCACGCTGGAGGGACTATGTCTCACCTCGGGATCCCCCTGGAGGAGCTGGAGGAAGTGTCTGGGGATAGGGAAGTCTGGGGTTCTCTCCTAAGACTGCTGCCCTCGCGACCCGGCCCCAGAAAAGGGGCAGAAGATGAATGAATGAATGGTCAGCCCAGTCCCCAGACTTGAACATCATCGAAAATCTATGACTTGATTTGAAAAGGGCCGTTCATGCTCGGCATCCATCAAACCTGACTGAACTAGAGAGATTTTACAAGGAATAATGGTACAAAATGCCATAAGCAAGAATTCAGGGATTTATCCTTGACCATAATAAGCATCCAAAGGCTGTTATTTCAGCTAAATGTGGCTGTACAAAAGATTGATGTCATTATTATGTTGAGGTGCACCTGTCTGTTTTTGTTTTGACTTAAATTGCATAGCATCTGTTGATTAAATAAGTGTTATGTCAGAACTGAAATGTTGCTTTATTCTAAGGGTATAAAATATATCCAAATGAAATAGCTGATTTGAAAGTCCAGCAGGCTAGGTTTGCTATTATGAAAATTATCAGGGCCACCCAAACTTTTACATAATACTGTACATCCATAGTAGAAAAAACAAATAGTGTCGAAGTAAACGATTACAGGTTTCTAGCTTTCTTCGAAATATCATATTCTGTGTTTACCTCTCACAGGTTTTGGACAAGTGAAGGCTAGGTAAATGATATTTATTTATGTCATATAGATAGAATTTTTTTTTTTTTGAAAGAACTATCCTTTGGGGCAGCACGGTGGCTCAGTGGTTGCCACTGTCGCCTCACAGCAAGAAAGTCGCTGGCTCGAATCCCGGCTGGGCCAGTTAGCATTTCTGTGTGGAGTTTACATGTTCTCCCCGTGCTGGCATGGGTTTCCTTCAGGTGCTCCGGTTTCCTCCACAGTCCAAAGACATGTGGTACAGGTGAATTGAATAAACTAGATAATCCACGGTGTATGTGTGTGTGTGATTGAGTGTGTATGGGTGTTTTCCAATATTCAGTTGTGGGTGGAAAGGCATCCACTGTGTAAAACATATGCCGGAATATTTAGTGGTTCATTTCGCTGTGGTGACCACTCATATAGAGACTAGACTGAAGGAAAATGAATGAATTATACCTTTAAGGCTTTGTAAATCAAAGTCACCCATAGCACAATAACTGGACAATACTTACATTTTGAGTCTGAAACTGTACAATTGTTTTTCCCTATTTTAAAATGTATTTTTGAGTTTGTTTTTTTTCTGTAAAAAATAATCATAAAAAATTATCATTTGATATTTATCAGATACTAATATTATTTATTAAAGCATCAGATTTCTGAAGTGTGACTTCATGAATGTGACATGTGTCATGTGACAGTGAAAAATTGAGTTATGACTGCTGAATACTTAGCTAATATCATACAAGAATGACTTTTAAAATGGTTAATTGCAATACATGTTTACAGCAGTACTGTTTTTAGTGTATCTTTTAGCAAGCAACTTGCAGTTGTGAAAATAACAAGCTCATTTAAAAAAAAGATCTAAAAAAATTATAGCATCCTCAAGCTTTCTAACTAATTCAAATAATCTATCTTCCAGCTAACTCTATCAAGCCTCTGTTTGCACTGGCTGCCAGTTGCTGCTCGCATCAAATTCAAAGCTCTGATGTTTGCCTACAAAGTGACTTCTGGCCTTGCTCCTTCTTGTCTGCTCTCACTTCTGCAGATCTATGTGCCCTCCAGAAACTTGCGTTCTGTGAATGAATGTCGCCTCGTGGTTCCATCCCAAAGAGGGAAGAAATCACTTTCGCGAACGCCCACACTCAATCTGCCCAGTTGGTGGAATGAACTCCCTAACTAATCAGAACAGCAGAGTCACTCGCTATTTTCAAGAAACGACTAAAAACTCAACTATTTAGTCTCCACTTCACTTCCTAATCTGCAATTGCTCTCTGGATATCACACTAACTGTACTAATACTTTCCTTCTTAGACTTTACAGACCTGAAACTTGCCTATAGCACTTATTCATTGTTGCTCTTATAGTTGTGTAAGTTGCTTCCTTGTCCTTATTTGTAAGTCGCTTTGGATAAAAAAGTCTGCTAAATGACTAAATGTAATTGTAAATATATATATATATATATATATATATATATATATATATATATATATATATATATATATATTTTTTTTTTTTTTTTTTTTTTTTTTTTTTTTTTTATGACAATAATTCAAACTTAATTTAGCCATTTCAAAGACACACTTCTACAAGGTGTTTCAAAGACAACTATTTATTTGTGGATATAAGATATATAATACTATTATAAACAAAAAATAAATAAATAATTAATAACATTTTAATACAAGGATGCCCAAATTCAGTCCTGGAGAGCCTTCATAGGGTTTCCTTCATAGTTTAGATCCAACCCCAATCAGACACATCTGGGCTAACTTAATCAGGCTCTTAGTAGGCTTGAAAGAAATGTGCTGGCAGGTGTGTTTAGGCAAGTTGGAGCTACACTCTGAAGGACACCGGCCCTCCAGGATTAAGTTTGGGCACCCCTGTTTTAATACTTAAGTTAATTACTTCAAAATAATTTTAGTAACATATGATAAAAAACATGCACTTTACCAAAGTAAGTCACCAATCAGATGGCAGGAATAAGATGTGTATGTTTGCATTTCTTGTAGCCTGTCCAGTGATGTCCATGGATGTGCTGGTGCCGGCGCTGATCAACGCTCTCAACGGGAGTGACGTCAGAATCACATGTACTTTCACCTCATGCTACAAGCTGGACCCCAGCAAGTTTGCAATGAACTGGACATATCAGGAGACAAGCAACAGCACAGAGGAGATGGTAAGAGCAAGCAAAAAAACTACAAGCATTCAATATAGTAATGCAAATTCTCTGGTATCCTGCTTTTTATAAAAGCATAGTTCACCCAAAATGTTAAATTCTGGCATTATTTACTTACCCTTTACTTGTTTTAAACCTTTATAAGTTCCTTTTGTCTGTAAAAAGACAAACAAAAATATTTTGAAGAAAGGTGAATTCCTGTAACCATTGACTTCCATAGTAGGAAAAACAGACACTATGGATGTCATTGATTACAGAATTTAGAATTTTTTGAATTTCTTTGAACTGACAACATTCATCAAGGTTTAGATCCACTCGAGAGTTAGTAAATAGTGAGTACATTTTCATTTTTGGGTAAACGTTCTATTTAATGTACCTTCATCCATAATGTCTTTGCTTTCTCTCTCTCTCTCTCTCTCTCTCTCTCTCTCTAGTTCATGACCTATAAGAACACCTATAAGATGATACCCTTGAAGCCCAGTCGATTTGGAGAGCGAGTCATGTTTACTGGAAACCTGGATAAGAACGACCTTTCCATCACCATCTCGGACGTGCAGCTGACAGACGAGGGCATCTACAACTGCTATGTGCGCAACCCTCCAGACCGCATTCAGGGCCATGGCACCATCCAGTTTGCCGTCCTGACTGAATGTAAGGCTTCAGCTTAGAAGCAGCATGACAAACGTTTTAAACGTTCAAACCAGGGTTACTTCAGAATGGCCATGATGAATGGGGTTTCCTCACTGCAGGTGTTGTAAAGTCCAGGATTAGAATAGTTTCCTCCATTGGTGACATATCTAGGTCATCCTGTGAGTTAGCGGCACACTAGTTCCCTCGACAAAAATGAATAAATACCTATAGGGATTTTTCTATATTGCCATTTGAATTTATTTCCACAAATTAAGAATGTTAAAATGTTTAAATCCTTAAGTCAAACCAACGGTAGAAATTAGATAAATGTTAAGTTAATGGTTGCATGAAACTAATAACAACTTTAAATTTATGTATAAAAACTTGTATATTTAAAATGAAATTATTCAGATTGCAAAAATCTGTGATAAGGTGAACCACAATATAGCGAGGGACCACTGTAGTTCAACTATCAAGTACTTAAATTTATATTTTCAAATGTTTAATGCCTTATCTACCTTTTAAATTATCATGACAGACCATGGTTTAAAGGTCTTTTCCAGCCAGAGTTAATCCAAGCCATTTTGAACTTGAACAAAACAAGCTTTGTATTGGCCTGATTTTGTTTGTAATCATGTCACAAATGTTCAATTTCATTTAAATTCAAAATACTTCACTTGAAGTGCACTAGGACCATAAAGCTTTAGCAGATTACCATAGGTCAGTTAGCATCTGGTAGATACTGCAACTGTTCAATCTTGGACCAGAAAGCAGTTTTGTAACCAACCTCTGTTATCTTCTGCCCAGTACCTCCACCAAGGGACTCGACCATTGCTGTGGCCATCGGCGCATCTGTGGGGGGCATCCTTGCTCTGCTCATTCTGTCCATGGTGGTGGTGAAGTGCATCCGCAGACATAAGAACCAGGAGCTGATCTCAGACGAGCAGAAGATGGAAGAAGAGGGCAAAGTAGATGGTGAAGGAGGCACAGAAGAAGCAACAAAGTAAGAATTTCTGTCTTTTATTTTCTCCCTTTGCCAGTATTTTAGTGTTTCGTCCCTGTGAACAAACTGCTTACTCTGAATCCTGAAACAGACAGCCCTAACCCGTCATGTTAGCCCTGGAGGCCTAATGGATGGTGGAGCTCCATGCTTCATGTTCTGGTAAAACCGATTGCTAGCTGGTGTGTTTTGGTGGTCATGTGACTGTGGTTGACAGTAGACCTTTCAAGTTCTCTTTCCATATTTGTTTCATCAGTCTGTCCATCTGGTTTATGATTTCTGTCCTGAATTATCTGGTTGCTATCAGTCTGTTTATAGCTTTTCTTTTTTATCTGGTTGGGCTCTGTAGGCCTAATCCCAATTCTACCCCTTAGCCCTTCCCTTTCAAACAAAGATTTTTCCGGACCACACTACAAACAAAAGGGTATTAGACATTTTCCTGAATAAATCAGCTGCAAACAACAAAGGGATCCCCACAGCTAAAAAAAATAGGGATTTACTACAAACATGTATCCAATTTATTACATTTATAATGGTGTCAAAGTGCTAAGGTTTGTGATATTCGAACAAATGTTAAAAGAAATCTCAAAATATTTCTAACAATAGTTAGAATAACCGCAGCAAAATGTTTGAAATTCTGATAGACACTTAATTTCAAGTGCCAAGGGAAAGGCGTAGGGGTATAAATTGGAATTGGTATTGGGCCATAGTGTCTTTTGTGGTGGTTATTGTATGTCAGTGTTTTTGTTTTCAGCTAACTTCATGACCTTTTACAAGACGTTGTGTGATCATATATGGCTAGTAATTTCCTCAGTATTGTTTAATATGGCTTGGAATGCTTATTGGTTTCAATCAGAATAAAAATGCTTGACAAAGTAAATTCAATAAAGTTTAAGTATCTTATCAAATATAAGCACAGAATTTATCTTCAGGGAAGAAACTAAACAACATACTGTATTCAGTACAGTTATGTTTTGTTTTGTTTTGTTTTTGCCTAAGAGAGTAAGAGAGTCGTAACATTTCTACATATACTTTACAACACCAAATCAGAAAGGTTGGGACAGTATGGAAAATGCAAAAAAAAATTTAGTGATTTCTAAATTTACTTTGACTTGTATTTTATTGCAGACAATATGAATGCAAAAATTTTTATATTTTGTCTGATAAACTTAATTTTCCTTGTAAATATACATTCTTTCCGGTCACTCAGACCTGCAACATATTCCAAAAAAAGTTGGGACAGGAGCAATTTAGGGCTAGAAATCAGCTAAATTGGTTAAATAATTATGTGATTTGAAACAGGTGATGTAAACAGGGGATTGTAACTAGGATTTGGTACAAAAGCAGCATCCAAGAAAGGACTAGTCTTTTCTGATAAGCAAAGATGGGCTGATAATCACCAGTTTGTCAACAAATACGTGAGAAAATTTTACAAATATTTAAAGTATGATGTAATTTCTTTGTTCCTTAAAGAAAGATAGGAAGACGTTTGGATATTTCACCTTCAACAGTGCATAACATAATTTAAAAATTCAAACAATCTGGAGGAATTTCAGTGCATAAAAGACAAGGTCGAAGACTAAGCTGAACAACAGTGATCTCCAATCCCTCAGGCAGCACTGCATCAAGCATCATCATTTATCTATGAGTGATAACCACATGAGCTCAGAACTACTTTGGCAAACTTTTGTCAAGTACTATAATATGTAGTTACATTCACAAATGCCAGTTAAAACTGTACCCTGCCCAAGAAATCCCTATGTTAACAGTGTCCAGAAGCAGTGTGTACTGTGGTCAGATAAATCAGTATTTCAGGTATTTTTGGAAGAAATAGACGCTTTGGGCTTCCAGACAAAACAAGAAAAAGATCATCCAGACCAGCAACAAGTCCATACTGTAGGTCAGGGTCCGTCATGGTTTGGGGTCGTATCAGTGCCCTTGGCAAAGGAAACATGCACTTCTGTGATGGCACCATCAATGCTGAAAAGTAAAAAGTACATAAAGTACATGGATATTTGAAGCTGCCTTCTTTTCTTTTTAACAAAATCACATTCTGCACACATTACAAAGTCCAGGCTACGGTGAAAGGTGACACAGGACTGGCCTGTCTCCAATAGAGAATGTGTGGTGTATTTTGAAGCATAAAATTCCACAATGAAGGCGCCATACTGTAACTTTAGGACAAAATTACACTTGTAACACTTCATCACTTGGTGTCTTCAGTCCCTAAACATCTTTTATGTGTTGTGAAAATGAATGGCAAACTTTACAAAGTGGTAAATACTTTACTGTTTCAACATTTTTTGAAATGTATTACAAGAAACAAAAGAGAAAAAAAAAAGCAATACAAATCATGAGAAACACATTAAATAATGTGATGTTGTATTGTCTGCAATGAGATACAAGTCAAACTAAAACTGTCTTTTTTTATTTGCGCTTTTCATACTATCCCAACTTTATCTAATTTGAGGTTGTACAACTAATAATAATAATAATAATAATAATAATAATAATAATAATGATGATAAAAAATCCCTTCTCCTACCCTTTTTTTCTATCAAAGTGGAAAAGGAATTTGCTGATTTAGTCTTTTTAACCAATTCAATAAAAAAAATAAAAAAAAGATTTGCTTTGTTTTTATTCAATGTATCAAGCATTTTCTAATTTTAAAAATTGTCTTCCTTTTACCTTTCAGAAATTTAAGCCTCCTGCCTGAAGATATATAAACTTGTTTGACCCTTCATCCTGTTATGGTCCCATTCAACACTCCCTGGTATTCTCGTGTAGCGATCAAACATGCCATGTTAGGAAGATCTCCCTGCCACAGTGCCATGGTGTCCAGTCACTGGTGAAAAATAACAGAGGGTTTTAGGCTGCCTCTTCAACTCAATATGGCAGCTTAAGGTGATAACAACATCCTATAGAAATATTCATTTGGTCCACCCTTTTTACAAATTTACTAAAGTATTTTTTCTGCCACTAGTAACACTAATATTATTAGCCATCCAGTATTTCTGCTGAGAATTTTCTAAAGGGATGAGTTTTAAATTATACAAAATCCTCCTTACAACTGCCAAAGTGTTTTTTACCCTTATGGTGTTTATACGTCTTGACAGCTTCTTGAGAAATCACTGCCCTCAACATCCTCTCAGATGGATGCAGAAACATATTGTGTGTTTTTGTGCGTGCCTTCTTGTTGTGCTAGTTTGCTCCAATTGAGTCTAAACGTTTATGTTGTCTAAAGTAAGTCCAGCAGGTATAACAGCAGGTTATACCTAGAACCTACTAAAATGGAAGGACCATCCACCTGTGTTCAAAATTTGTCATTTTCTAGTTTACAGTACATATTACACCCCTAGAACATGTACAATCATTGCATGACAATTTTCTTACATCATACATAAAAAAAAATTGCACAAAATAAATCACAGATTTGCACAAGCATTTGGCATATTCCAAAAATAGGGTATACAGTACTTTGGTGCCCCAAAGTCTATCAGATGTACTTGTTATTCAACATAATGTAACTAAAATCATAGGGACTAGAGAATGTCTGTCTAGGCTGTCTTACCTTTACGAACTTGCATTTATTAACCATATTCTGTGATTAACAGAAGTCAGACATTGTTATATTGATTTTCATAATTTAGGTATAATACATCTCCTTATTAATTTTTAATGTATTTAATCAAAGTATATAGGGGATTTATGGTCATCTGTCATAAGATGACTCTCTGAAATACATCCAACCAAGGCTCAATCTTGATACGTGATTTTGACCACGATTCTATTTCTGTAGAACCTGAAATACTTTTCTCCTGGTACATTTTCATGCACTTTTCTTATGAAATGTCTACAAAAGGGCATTGCTTCTTGTAGGTACAATACTTGCTTCTGGCTACGTTCCTGCACAACTTGAAATACATTGCTCCCAATATGCTCACTGCATTTTTCTTTTGAAGCCTCCATAAGAACATGTTGTCCTTTGTAAGTATCACATATGCCAAACTATAATCCAAACGTCTAAGCATTATCTAAAACAAATCTGATGGAAAACCCCAGTTACTGTAGCATCCATACCATTTTATTCATGGGTTTAAGCTCTTTTGTTACACAAACAGTACTGCACCATTCCATGTGAGCTAATGAACCAACAACCACAATCTGGGAAAAGATATGTGAAAACACATCTGTTTACAAATCTTACTCATTTTTAAGAGTTTAGATGTCTTTATATGGCATTGTTAAAAAAAAAAAAAAAAACTGCTTGAAAATATAATTTGTCAGTCATACTCTAATCATAATTTGTGGATGGAAAAAACATCCAGAATCACTTACCAAGAATGTCCCTGAGTTGAAGACATATTTTGAAGTGAGATTGATGACACCATTTAGACAAATACTGCTGTTAAATGAAGGTGACTATCCTCTGGTGGAGTCTTATATTTTTTGCGTTTGTGGATCTACTTGCACCTTGCGGCTGGTTAAAAAAGGACCATCAGGCCCATTTTTTATCACCATTTCCACCTCAAAGAGCCATTGCTGTACCCTATCCAAACCTGCTGCCAACATTCCAGCGCACTACACCCAACCCTCCTAATGCTGGCAAAGTGGCTGATTAACTTTAAGGAGCCCAAACTAGTTCCCATGCTTGTTCCTTCCCTCAAACCAGTTCTTCTTTTCTGAATCCTGCCTGGGGTGTCTTGAAGTCTTAGTCCTGTCTGGAGTCCCTTCTTCTCTTTCGATCTCAGCCTCTTGTCACTGATGTGCTCTACCTCCTAGCTCCTCCATTGCTGCTGGTCCTATTTAAACTTAATCTTTGTTGTATCCTATGGTTCTGAAGAGCACCTAAGCTCATTAATGTCTGCTGCTCCCACTCCACAAACTCTCGACTCTTTAATTGGTCAGTTGGTCACTATGAGTTATGTTGTATGACATTGGGGAATTTACTTCTAAGACTAATTACTCTGAATTGTATAAAAACAAACCAATGAAATGCCTACAGAATTATTGAGTGCAATCTGCATGTGCAGCCACTCCCATAATTAGGATTATATAAAATGCATCATGATGGCCATGCCGTCCAGAATGTGGTGGATTCCTGTATTCACGTAAAGGTTGTGATCTTCGTGCTACTGTACATGTCTGAACTAGCATGTAGATGCAGAGCTTGTGAGTTCATGCCCACATTGAGAGGGCATCCCTATGGCTTCACTAAGATTGCAGCTCGTTTTGTTACAAGTGTGAGCCTTCTGGTCCCTCCCTCATTTGATAAAACCAAAGATCGGTCATCGATATGTCAGAGGGTGAGGGATCAAATTCTTTAGCGATAGTTTGGAGTGCTTTTGGCCTCCAGGGTTCCTGTTCCTAAGTCATATTTTGTGGATGATTGTTGCTCTTTCCAGGGTGCCACTATGTTTAGGCTTCAGGTCTGTCTGCTGTGAGCCTGTTCAGGTAAATGGGATATGAAAGGAATATAAAAGTGTCTTGGGTTTATCCCATCAAGATTAGTTACATTTTGAATTTCTATCTTGCACAGTGGGACATATGACATCCACAGCCACGCTCACTGCTCAGGTGCACTGGCTTAGCTGGCCCCAGAGCTTTGCAAATATGCGTTTCTCTCAGTGAGCCTTATCACATAGAGCCTGTGCAAGGTCAGAGAGGATGAGGACGAGGTTTTGTTGGTCTGAACCACTTGGATATAGACTACAAACCACACTCATCATTACAGCACCTTCCCTGTCATTTTCCCCTGAGTCCTTCCTTTTAGAGATGGGGAACCATCTAGCACCTGCATCCAGATCTTTGGAACGTCCATGTGTTGTCCATAGACGAGAGTGCCTACACCTTGAAGTGGAGTCTATTTGTTGTTTTGTGTGAGTCTATTTGTTGTTTTGTGTGCACCTTGCTGAGAACACCTCCAAAACTTGCACGATTAGTAAGTTTAAGTGGAGGTGAGCATAAACTACGTTGCTGCCGTCTCTGCTCATCATGATGCTTCTTGCCAAGAACACCCCCAAAACTTGTCGTGTCAGTAAGTTCGAGCGGAGGTGAATATATTTTACGTTGCTGCCATCTCTGCTCATCATAATGCAGTGGATGGTAGGGTGCTCAAGAAGCATGCATGACCTTCTCGCCCGCCTTTCAAACATTTAATGCTTATGCCTTTGGTGGAGCTTCATCTCTCATGCTTTCTGATTGGCATACACTACCCAAATCTATAATAGATTCAGCTGCTGTGTTTGCATGCATTTACAGTAATGACGCACATGCAGATTATGCTCACCAATTCCATAAGGCATATAATTAGCCTGTTTTTATACTATGGAAACTAATACTGTACAACAATGTCCGCATTCCCTTCTTCAGGCAACAATGGTTATATATATATATATATGTAGCCAAGACATTCTTCGTGATTCTTTCCAGCCTCCTTTCACTAGGTTTTTATTTACAGCCTTGTTGCTTGGGTCTCTTTGCTTCACAATGGGCCTTCAAACTCCACCAAGGCCAGTCAACCCATTGACTCCCACTTTGGGTCCACTCTCCTTTGGTGTCATCCCTCAGGCTCAGCTGGGCTTATTTTTTCCTTTGGTTCCTCAATTTTTAAAAGTTATGTATAAAAAAAAAATATTTAAATGGGAGTTTCAGGAATACTTTTGTACCCTATTTATGGATAATGCCAATTCCAAAACATTGCTTTTACACATCAACATCATCACTTAATGTGCAATGATTATGTGGCAAGTGAAACATTGAGATAGATATGTGTATTTATAGATATAGACCAAAAAACAAACTTGATTGTTAATATTATTGATTGTGTTTGCAATGTATGTTGTGATGTGTTTTTTGGAATGTGTGAATTTATTTTACGTTAATATCTTCATGAACAAAAAAAGTTGTGCAACTATTTTGTAATCAATAATGAATTTCCAAACACTTACAAATTAACCTGATAATCAAAATTCCCATCTAAGCTTATCATCAGTTTAGAAAAATAGGCTACACAGATTTAAATTGACTACTAAGGTTGGGCAAATAAAGCATACTGGATTAAGTAAATTGTGCCAAAATGAGACCCTTGATAGCACACTTACATCGCAGAGACCTCTATTGGATGTTTACACCTGAAAGATGTCTTTTACGTCTACTTCTAGACAACAAATATATATTAAGAATATGTCTTTGAGATGTTTAAAACGCAGAACTATCACACCGCAGACCTTTTATGGACATTTATCAGACCTCTGAGCACATCGGATGCTTTTAAGACCAAACAATCTTAAAAATACATCTTGCAGGGGGGCAGGTCCTCTATATGCTTCTGCTAAGTTTAAAGAACAGCCTCAACATCATTACAGTATAATTTTGTGTTTTAATGAAATGTATGTATTAAATAGTTCTATTAAATCAAAAGTAATTATATCAAAATATATTTATATGTATGTATATTGTAATCTTGAATGACGTTGAAAAGTAGCAGTATATGTCTTGTTTAAACATTCTATATATTTAAATTGAAACAGACAGTATCATGCAGAAGTAGAATACTACATTCACTCATTAACAAACAGCGATTCTTTGTTGTAAAATTTAACTTATTTATGACATGTGCTATTTTGTCTATAAACCATAACAGTTTAAACTATTCTAGTTCGTATTTTACTTTATCATGCATGGTTACTTGGTTTCGCATGCTGTAATTCTACATTTATTCAGCCCCGGCCTAAAGCCTGAAGCCACAGTGATTTTGAGCCCAGGATTGCTCACCCACAGCAGGACAAAGCTGACATTGGAGCTGTTCAAGCACACTTTAACTCACTTAATGCCCTTCTAAGAGGTTTATGCTTCTTTTTTCTTTATCGACAAAAGCGTTATGTTACACTTCCACATTATATTGTATAGAACTTAGTCAGGGTAGGCGCCAAATCAAATGAGCTAGTGAAATATTACACATACATTGATCAAGAATTTACAATGGCGCCCAGTGAATAACAGTTCTAATAAACCATATTGTGCATTATGGCTTTTGTTTGCTGTAGATTTTTGTCAAATTGCTGGATTATTAAGATTTTATTAGACTTTTTTTTGCCAGTTTAACAATTATTTTTTCAATTGTTCAACTGGTAAAACAAAAACAAAACCAACAACAACAAAATCCAGCAATTTGACAAATTTCCCCTGCTATATTTAAATTCCTGTTAAAGATAGAAAAGTGCTACCTTAACCAAGTTCTATTACAATTAGTATTTTATCAATCATATTATATTACTTCTTGTTACAAAAAATTTGTAAAAAAAAAACAAAAAAAACGTATTTGTTTATTTATTACATTGCATATGTATACTTTTTGTAAGGAGATCCATTCCTTATTTTTCTTCATGCTACTGTCATTAATATTATTTCAAGAATTTATTCAGTTATATGATTTAATCAGTTGATTTATTGTTATGGTATGAAATAAATTTTCACTGAGGTATTATTGTTTGCATTTCCCAGCTAAACTTGTCTAATCTAAAAGACATCTTAAAAATAGCCCAAAACTAGACTAGTCGTCAAATATATTAGACAGACTTTATATGTGTAATCATTCATTTCTGTTTATTTGGCGACTAATCGAGTTTTGGCCTATTCCTAGATGTCTATTGACAGCCCAAATTTAGCCTTGTTTTAGCCAAGACAACTATGTTTAGATGTCTATTAGACATCTTTTAAAAGTAAAAAATAAAATAAAATCTTGCTAGGTAGAGTTTGTTACTTTTTTGCCAACTGCATCCACAAAATCTACTATAAATTTATGGTGATTTAACACTATAATCTGATTTGCAGCACAGCAATTATTAAAATTATTAAGCCAGTTGGTGTAAATCAGATGACAACAATTTTATGATTCATAGGTTAAATTGTATTCATCAATTGCATTTAAAGCAACCTTAAATCCCTGATTACCTTCTGTTCGAATTATTGAAGTATTTCCTGATCACTTGGTTACATGTAAGAAGTGTGTACAGATGTTATAAGCATGATGCTGGGTCATTAAAAAAATAAATAAATAAATAAAAAGTTGCACTCTCGGATGCCTGATATTATACTGAAGGTGAATAAAAGCACAACCATGATGTAACCATGATATCATATATTGTTGATTGTATTTTAAGTGTTCCTCAATGCATTTAATGATTCTTATCAAGATCATATAGTATTTCTATGGACATAATAACAGCAGTGTGAACAGAATGTTCGGGGACCAGTTTTCTTCCATCATGCATTGCTCTGTTTTAGTGTTTTTCTCTTTTGCTCTCTCGCTCTCTGAAGGTCTGACTTTTCCTGGCCTACTTTAAACACATACTGTATGCTTGCACTGCACCATGACTATAAAAGCTGCATCTGATTGTTTTGTTTTTTTTTTAATAAAAATAAAGAAATAAAGCATCGTGTTCTGGTTACTTTGTATACCTTTTACTCACTGCGCAATTAAGCAATATTAAGATAGTAGACAAAAAGTGGAAATGTTTACTCACCCTAATGAAATGAAATACAGGAGTTTCTTTGTTCTGTGGAAGAAAAAAAAAAAGGTTAATTATTGTATTTATCTATTTGTTGTTTGGTTGGTTGGTTGAATCATTTAATAAATTTTGAAAATTAAAATAAAGATAAATAAGGGTTAAATGAATGAACAAATGAATATATTGGAGAAGGGAAATATATATTTGATGACACTTTACTTTGATGGTGGATTTGAGTATTAGTATATATGCTTAATATCTGTTGATACTGCTCCTTCAACAGACCTTTAACTGACTTTAAGAAACTTTGCAAGTACAACTTACACTAACCCTAAGCCCAACCTAACAGTCTACTTATAATCTAATGCAAATTGGTTGCCAAGTAGATTCAATGTAACTCAAAGTCAACAAATGGACCATCCAAATAAAGTGGGACCTAACATTTGTGAAGAGACTTAGAATTTGTTTAGATTATTACATTTTATTAAATGAGTTTATAGTGATCAAGAAATATAAATTAATGCATGTGCATTTACAGGTTAAGACACATTTTTTCCAAAGGCAGTGGGACTGGGTCAAAATAAAGGGAGGAAAAAAAAAGAGATTTTTTAGTAAGGTATGTTAGTAAAATCAGTCTGCTAAACATTCTTTGTTGCAATAAATATCAATTTGTTTAAACCTTAACAGGCGCACATGGATGTATGAATGGACGAACAGAGACAATGAAAACAGATAGACAGACAGCTAGATAGCCAGACAGACAGATAGACAAACAGATAGATAGATAGATGATAGATAGATAGATAGATAGATAGATAGATAGATAGATAGATAGATAGATAGATAGATAGATAGATAGATAGATAGATAGATAGATAGATAGATAGATAGATAGATAGATAGATAGATAGATAGATAGATAGATAGATTTATTTGATCTCTATTTTAATGATTTTTGTAATAAAAAAAATCAATAAAAAGGGTTTCTATCCTTTAAAAAAAAAAAAAAAAAAAAAAAAAATATATATATATATATATATATATATATATATATATATATATATATATATATATATATATATATATATATATATATACTAATTTATTCAATCTAGCTCGCTTGGGACTTGTAGAGCTGCATATCGATGGATTTGCTCTTCAGTGTTTGGACTTCAGTGAAATTTTACCAACACTGAACTGAACCCAATTGAACTTCAACTCTAAAAACTGGACTCACAGTTTCAATTAACCAAAACTTTTATGTCAAGCTGCTTTGCAACAATCTACATTGTAAAAGTGCTATTGAAACAAAGATGAATTGAGTTGAAATTTCATCTTTGCCATGGTAAAATTACATAATATTCTTCTAGATATTTTCTAAGATATTGAGGTTAAAATACAATTTAAAGGCTTAACTAGGTTAATTAAGTTAACAGGTTCAGATTAGTAGGCAAGTCATTAAACAACAGTGGTAATAATTTACTGGGAATGATTCACTTTCACTCAGAACTACATATCTAAGCTAAAAATATGGCAAAACAATTTGAATTTAATTTGTGTAAATTGAATTATTGACAATAATAATTTAATAAATCTGAATTTTTATATGTTGTCAAACAAATTGGAATTTGAATTTCTTAATTTAAATTTGAATGTCTTGATTCAAATTTTATAACTTGAATATTGAACATCTGAAATTTAAAACAACAGAATTTTTCAAGGGTGATTTTTTTTATAGATGTATTTTCCAACTTTTTTTTCCAGATTTTTTGTGTTCTGAATTCATAGACTGATATCCAGTTTGTAAAAGTTAAGAAATTTAGGGCATCAAATAAAATATTCTAAAATTCAAAACCAGAAATTCAGATTGTGAAATTCAGATTCAGCAGAAAGTAGGTCAGGGGTCATCAAATGAATGATGAATTAATGTTGACAGATTCATTCATTTTCTTTTCGGCTTAGTCCCTTTAATAATCTGGGGACGCCACAGCGGAATGAACCACTAACTTATCCAGCATATGTTTTACAAAGCGAATGTCCTTCCAGCTGCAACCCATCACTTGGAAAGATCCATAAACAACGGGGCTTACCCAATTCACCTACACCACGTCTTTGGACTTGTGGGGTAAACCGAAGCACCCGGAGGAAACCCACGCTAACACAGGTAGAACATGCAAACTCCAAACAGAAATGCCAACTGACCTAACCAAGTCTCGAACCAGAGACCTTCATGCTGTGAGGCGATCGTGCTACCAACAGCGCCACCATGATGCCCCATCTGTCAACGTGTGGACTACAAATCCAGTCATGCACCACACTCACACCTGCTATGGGTTTCCTGCTGATTGCTAACAATTAAAACTGAAGCTGTACAGAATTGATTACATTGACTTTAAAAGCAGCACACACACCAGTTACAGAGTTGTGTTTATCTGTTAGTGTAATATTTCTAAACTTTCTTTGTCTAGTCTATCCTGTGTTTTGATCCTTGCCTTGTCTTCTGGTTATTATTGATACTTTGCTGCCTGTAACAACCACTCGCCTGTTTTTTGACCACAACTTTGAATTGCTCTGCATGTATTTTGATCCTGTTGACCGTAGCCTGCCTGACCATTCTCCAAATAAACCTCCAAAGTTTTGGATCCACACTCCATTTTCCAGCATCCATTACATAACAGTTCTATAGTCAATAAAAAACTAAATTAAAAACAAGGGGCTAATAATTTTGACCTTAAATCAAAAACTGTTTATTCCAGACGAAATAAAAAACAAATCGGGCATGTTGTGAATACTGTGAAAATGCCCCTGCTCTGTTAAAAACCACGGGGGGAATATATGTATATAAAAAAAGAAAGAAATAGAAATTTCACAGGAGGGTTAATGATTTCTAAAATTAAGGCTAATCCTTAAAAACTGCATTGTTAACCGTTGCACCATAAAACAAATTTTGTGGTCCAGGTCTACAAGTGTATTCATTGGAGCCAATTAGAACCTTTTTTCCTACTGTGTTCAAAAACAAAATAAGGTAAAATTATAAAATAAAATGGTTAGCAAATTGTGTTTTTCATAGAGCTGCATATGTGGGGCAGGTAGGCAAGGGCAGGTGCCTTTTTTAAATGGGTTACAGAGAAAAAGAGAGTTGAACAGCAGCGTCTCTGCAGTGTGATCAACATTATCTACTGCGGTTGAACAAAACTGCTTCACATGCAAAAGTGAAGGTGACTCACACACATAAACATGTAAGTAGATATATTTATCAAAATCAGCCAGACCACAAAATCCGAACAACTCAATGATTAAGACTCAAAATGCTAAAACCAGCTGTCTGGTTACCTGCCAACAGACATTCATTCAGCAAGCATCTCTTAATCAGTTGTGGTTTTTAATCTAAATTAGGTAAACTTAGAGATAACAACAGCATCACAATGAGTCAGCAAAACAGATGTCATTTCAAACATCTGGTGAAAAAAATGAAAACCTACTGCAATTAAATCTCAGATGTGCCTTATTCCTGTTTGTAATTATTTGAGTAATTATGTGAATTAATTGTAAATTAATTGGAAATTTCAGAAATCAAATTCCGACGTGCTGTATTTGACAAAATAGTTCAAATGCTTGTAGGGAATTTAGCCATAAACTATGGTAATGTGTTTACTTGTAAAGCTGGTTTCTCTTCATATTATCTCCTATTTCCAAAAGAATGTTGGGAAGTATGTATATCATTAGGGAGAAAGTGGTTGAAAAGACAGTTTCTTTCTCCTTGATTATACACTCACCGGTCACTTTATTAGGTACAACTGTTCGTTAATGCACATTTCTTATCAGCCTATCACATGGCAGCAACTCTATGCATTTAGGCATGTAGACATGGTCAAGACGATCTGCTGTAATCCAAACTAAACATCAGAATGAGGAAAATAAGGTGATTTAATTTACTTTGAATGTGTCATTTTTGTTGATGCCAGACAGACTGGCCTGAGTATTTCAGAAACTGCTGATCTACTGGGATTTTCATGCACAACCATCTCTAGGGTTTACAGAGTATGGTCAAAAAAAGAGAGAATTTCCAGTGAGCGGGAGTTCTGTGGGCGCAAACGCTTTGTTGATGCCAGAGGTCAGAGGAGAACAGCCAGACAGGTCCGAGCTGATAGAAAGGAAGCAGTAACTTAAATAACAACCGAGGTATGCAGGAGAGCATCTCTAAACACACAGCACGACAAACCTTGAAGCAGATGTTCTACAGGAGCAGAAGACCACACTATGTGCTACTCCTGTCAGCTAAGAACAGGAAACTGAGGCCTAAATTCACACAGGCTTTGGGCATATTAGTAGCAATTGAGCATTGTGTCGACGCCACAGCCAATTGTTGCTGACCATGTCCATCCCTTTATGACCACAGTGTACACATCTTCTGATGGCTACTTCCAGCAAGATAACATCCATTGTGATAAAGCACAAATTATCTCAGATTGGTTTCTTGAACATGACAATGAGCTCACTGTACTCCAATAGCCTCCACAGTTAGATCGAAATCCAATAGAGCACCTTCGGAATGTGGTGGAACATGAAACTGCATGATGCGATTATGTCAATATGCACTAATATTTCTGAGGAATATTTCCAAAACCTTGTTGAATCTATGTCACAAAGGATTAGGGCTTTACTGAAGGCAAAAGGGGGTCCAACCCAGTACTAGCACCTAATGAAGTGGGCAGTGAGTGTATGCATACATTCAACATACAAAAGTTAAGTTAGGATGCTACTTTAGAATTAATACTTTCTACTCTGGCTACTGAATATATGCTTTTAGTATATTTTCATGATATCAATATAAGTTTGTCTATTATAGTTACATGAAATTAAATCCAAATTTAAGTTATACTTCTAAATTATCTAAATCAGCTAAAATAAATTTGATTGTTTTTTCAAACTTACAATTTACAACTACAATATACAAAAAATAAGTCAATAACATTTGTGATTTTGAGAAAGCAAATCTAACTTTTGAACAGAAATGTGATAATTCAAATTAAACAGTCAATTAAAACTTTAATGAGGTGTAATAATATTCAGACTAATGTCTTGTAAAGTGTTAAGTATTAAAGCAAGTATTAAAACACTTTTCAAATGTATTTGTTCATTTTTAGAGCAGGAAAAAGAAGTATTGAACACATTCTTTTTTTTCTGGGAATAATATTTCTAAAACATCTGTTGACATGGAATTGCACTAGATTTTAGTAAAAACCCTAACAATACAAACATAAAAACGAATAAAAAAAAAATCAGTAATAATGTAATGACACAAGGAGAAAGCGCAGAACTACATAAAAATAATTAATACTTTATATAAAAGGCTTTTTTGGTGATGGCAGCTTAAAGACAACTCTCTTTTGGAGAATGAAGTCACATTCATTGCTCAGGTGTGAGTTTTTCACAGACTTCAACAGTGTATAAATCTTGATGGTTCGGTGGGTCTCGTCAATCAAATCTGATCTTTATTTTGTATTTTCTATTGGATTCAAGTCAGGTGACTGGCTGGACCATTCTATAGCTTGATTTTCTATTTCTGAAACCATTGGAGAGTTTCCTTGACTGTGTTTTGGATCATTGTCTTGCAGAAATGTTCACCCTGGTTTCATATTCATCATCTTGATAATGTAGATGTTGGACTTAAACAGCTAACATTAATTTACAATGACGAAGGGCAGAGGGCTGCTGAATAACTACTGGGAGATTTCAGCTGCTGTCTGGGCTTTCACTGCCTTTTTACACCTCCCTTTCTTCATGTGTTCAATACTTTTCACCTGAGATATTTCATTTTATTATGCACAACTTAATTTGTATACTAATTAGATTTGTTTTCTTTACATTCAGTACATGGATTTCTTTGGTTGTTACCAACATTCAATGAAAATCAACAGCACCTTTACAAATATGTTTTTTGAGAAAAATGGGGACGTGTTCATTACTTATTTTCCCCACTATATATCATACTATATCTATAAAGTGTTAAAATCGTGACCTTAGAATTATAAGTATCTATCTGATATTTTAATCAAAATTGCATTACTGAAATATTCTTATGAAATGACAAATTATTTACATTATAAGATGTTTTTTTATTAGTTGTTTACATTTTAAGATTTAAAAAAATATATAGTACACACATACTGTTTGCTCTATGGAAATCAAATACTTTGAAGCTTAATATCTTAAACTCATTCAGAACGCACATAGAACCTTATAATTCTAAATTGCCGAAATTTCTCTTCAGCATATACTGTACAATATAATTTTATACATAAATAATTGTTAGGAAAGTTCTTTAAAAAAAAAGTTAAAATATGTTTAATGGAGCTTTTATATTTGAGTCAAATATAAAAACAAAAGAATAAAATTGTTGTTTGTTGTTTCACTAAAGCAATAATGAATGAATGAATGTCCCTAGTTTGCTGATTAGAACAAAAATAAAAAAGTTTGTTTTCCTGTTTTGTCCTTCTCTTGTGCTGTAAAAATATGTATGTTTTGTATTACAATCTTTCTAAACACTGTTCTGCAAAACAAAAAGTTTATATGTACATCACATTTGCTTTATAGTTTTGGTTTGTATTTTGTCACATTTTTCAGCTTAAAATAAAGATTCAAATAAGAAAACAGCCTGAATAAATGAATGCATGAGTGAATGAATGAATGAATGAATGAATGAATGAATGAATGAAGGACTGAATGAATGAATGAATATGTCAACGCAATATGTTTTCTGGCAAATATACTGAATGAATGAATGATTTTTCACAGCAATGCGTTTTCTGGCAAAGAACTAATGGGTATAAAAACAGATGTAAAACCAAAGTTTAGTATACACACATTCTAATGAAGGTCTTCAAATAATTGCTATTAAAATCTACAGAAGAAAAGTACATTCAAAATAAACATTCATAAAGTATCATTCCAATTTGAAACAACACTCTATGAGGTGGACCGAAATCTCAAAAATAATCAGTGCATGAAAAATTAAATTAAATTAAATTAAATTAAATTAAATTAAATTAAATTAAATTAAATCTGCCTAAATGTAACAAGTCCACAAATTTTTATAGCACTAATAAATAATAAAGCAATACTTAAGCAACATATTATACAGATTACATACGATATCAAATAGACACAGACATTAGTATCAGTAGCAAGATTTAAAAAAAAGACTGCTTCACTTACCAACTTATGAACCCTCAAACCACAATCCTTCTCTCCTAAATTAGCAAATAATTTGTACATGAATCCCATACAAGTCCAGCAACTTCTCCTCTGCTCTCAGGCCTTAGTCATACTTCTCCATCAATGTATCATAAAGTTGGAAAAAAAAGGAGGGAGAAGGAAAGAACAAGAAGTAGGCAGGGCTGCAGGCACTCTAGTAGTTCTTCCTGGGACGCTCTAAAGAAATGCAGCATTGTACTTTAATGCAGAGAGAACGAGAGAGAGAGAGAGAGAGAGAGAGAGAGGGAGAAACACAAATTCTAAGGTCACTGTTAAGCACTTGAGATGCAGAGACTTGCTTTCCCTCTTCTCCTGCCGTCCTCCACACCTTCCTCCTTTTCCACCCCTCCCTCCATTCCTCTCTGCTTTTTTCCCTTCTGCCGAAGTTTTGCAACATCATGCTCTCCTCTCTGGCGCAGTCCATAAGAGTCTTCGCTATCATCGTTTTTTTTCTTCTTTGACAATCTTTTCACCTCCAACATACAGGCACATCATTACTTTGACGGGACAGTTTTGCATACCGTACGTGAAATCTGTCCATATCATGGCTGTGCTAAAGAAATATTTTCATTAACTATCAAGCGGTTGTTCAATCCTAAGTCCATGATTGTTTTGCTCTGGTGTCACCAAACTCCTCCATTGTTCAACTGAGGGGGTCTCTCTTGTTCAATCTCTCTTGTTCTTACTGTAGCTTGCATTAGGGGAATTGCTCTCTCTTTCTCTCCCTCCCTCTCTCTCTCTCTCTGACACTCCACCCTCGCACAAGCACACACACATATGCTGTGATATGGACTCCCAAGGTCACATTGTTCTGAGAGCATGTGTGTGTGTGCAGAAGTGTGTGACCACAGGGGGTTGATATCGAATGCCATCCTATAAATCACAACGGCCCACACAGGACGATATTCTGTCACTCAGACATCAGTGTGGAAATGTCTCTGTTTGGGTCAGATGTCTGCGAGACAGCTTTCAGTGTCACATCTGCATCATGTGACGGCGCTATTCATCTGCAAATGCTTTTCGATCAGACCTATCTATTTAGCACATTTTAACTATTTTTTAATATATTTCTTAAATAATTATATGCACACTATGAATTTCATTTTCATTCAGATTGACTGATGGACACTTGAATTGTAACTATGTAAAATGACAAAGCTGACAAGGATATTGATGCAGATACATTATGGTGTATTTCACGTGTAAACTGACAGAAAAATGTTTCAATAATCAAAAAAATCTTTTTTTATAAGCTATAATGTTAGTGTATTTGTGATGACATCTATCTTTCCAAAACCTTCACCCTCTTTGTTCCCTTCTGGTGTATTAACCTTGCAACATAAATCAATCAAGAAAGCAATGAATCAATTAACCAACTGACCAACCAACCAACCAATCAATCAACAAACCAACCAACCAACCAAGCAAGCAACAACCCAACCAATCAATCAAAACAGCCAACCAAACAAGGAATCAACCAACCAATCAAACAAACAAATACCAACCAATCAATAAACCAAGAAATCAATTAACCCATCAATGAATCTTCTAAACAACAAGCCAGTCAAACAAATTGGCCAACTAATCAACCAACCAATCAGCCAACTAATCAAACAAGCAACAAACCAATCAAATCAGCCAACCAACTAAGCAATAAATAATTCAACCAAGCAATGAATCAATCAATCAACTAACCAATCTATCAATCAATTAATGATTCAAATCAGTCATTCAATCAGTCAAACATCAACCCAACCAATAAGCCAATCAACAAACCAACTAATTAAATCAGTCAACGAACTAACCAAAAAATGAATCAAGCAACAAATCAATCAACCAACCCATCAATGAATCAACCAAATGAGCCAGCCAACCAAATCCGCCAACCAATCAACCAACAATCAAACAGCTAACAAACTAACCAACAAAATCAGCCAGTTTTAACCAATCAATTAATCAACTAAGCAATGAAATGATCGACCAACTAACCAACCTATTAATCAATCAATGAACCAAACAAAGATCCAATCAACAATTCAAATCAGCCAACCAAAACAAATAATCAACCAACTAATCAAACAAACAACAAAACGATCAATTACATATTAACCAACCAACCAAATCAAATCAGTCATGCAATCACTAGATTAATCACTAGATTAATCAAATCAGCCAACAAAAACAAGGTATAAACCAAACAAACAAACAAACAAACAAACTAACTAACACCAAACCAACCAATTAACCAAGCAACAAACTAACCAATCAAATCAGCCAAAGAACTAACCAATAAACACATCAACCAATCAACCTATCAATGGATCAACCAAACAATGAGCCAGCCAACCAATCAACCTAAAAACTAACCAACCGGTCAAATCAGCCAACCAAACCAACTTACGAAACAAACAACAAACCAACCAAAAAATCTAATCAATCAATCAATCAATCAATCAATCAATCAATCAATCAATCAAATCAGCCTACCAAACAAACAACAAACCAACCAATCTAACAAACACCAAACCAACCAATCAAATCAAATCAGTCATCCAATCAATCAATCAATCAATCAATCAATCAATCAATCAATCAATCAATCAATCAATCAAATCAGCCAACAAAACAAGGAATCAACCAACCAATCAAACAAACCAGCCAATGAACTAACCAGTTAATAATTCAACCAAGCAACAATTTAATCAACAAACAAATCTACAAATCTACTAACCAACCAATAAAATCAGCCAAGCAACAATTTAATCAACAAACAAATCTACAAATCTACTAACCAACCAATAAAATCAGCCAACCAACTAACTAATAAATAAATCAGCCAAGCAATAATCAATTAACCAACTAACCAACCTATCAATCAGTCAATATATAAGCCAAGCATAGAGCCAACCAACCATTCAAATCAGTCAACCAAACCAACTAATCAAACAAACAAGAAACCAAACAATTACCTAACCAACCAACAAATCAAATCAGTCATCCAATCAATCAATCAATCAATCAATCAATCAATCAATCAATCAATCAATCAATCAATCAATCAAATCAGCCAACAAAACAAGGAATCAACCAACCAATCAAACAAACCAGCCAATGAACTAACCAGTTAATAATTCAACCAAGCAACAATTTAATCAATCAACCGACCTATCAATTAATCAACCAACAAACCAGCCAACTGAATCAGCCAACCAACTAACCAATAAATAAATCAACCAAACAACGAATCCACCAATTAACTAACCAACCTATCAATCAACAAATTGATCAATGAACCAAGCATCAAGCCAACCAGTCACTTAAATCAGCCAACCAAACCAACTGATGAAGTGGATTTTATACTCTTTAAAGTGTGAAGTTAATATATATATTCAAATTGTATGTATATAATCTGCTTGTAGACTTGCATACCATTAGAAGAATTACCATATCACAAGAACTGGATAAGTTATATAGTTACCAGGTTTGGGTCAGGGGTTAATCTAGGTGAAAATTGAGGTTAAGGGTTAACCTAGCCGGAATTTGTGTGACATATGTAGAAATAAGGGAAAAACAGATGACAGAGGTGGAATTTGGAGTCAAGGGTTAAACTAGGAGGGATCTTGTGTGACATATGTACAACAAAGGCAAAAACAGAGTATTTAAGGAGGGCAGAAGATGAGTGACACAGAATTTTTCAGACAGAGATGCTACTGGGGGTCTCCTGAAAGTTCTCCTTTGTTGTCGACAATAAAGTATATTCTTCTGATATTCATAACCTCCAGACTGAGTTTGATTGAGTAAGACAAAAACCAAGAAAACCACCACACTGATCAACCAACTAATCAAACAAACAACAAACCAAACATTTAACCAAACCAAGCAACCAACCAACAAATCAAATCAGTCATCTAATCAATCAATCAATCAATCAATCAATGGTTTCGCTGTCCTTGTAACACCCCTAATCTAAAAGGCCTTTTCTTAGATTATTTGGATGTAATACTTTTGGGTCAGAGTTAAACACTGTGGTGGATCTTAAAAGATCTAGATAAGCCACAAAGGACTTAAATGAGCAAGGCTAATAAATAGCCAAGTGCTATAGTCAATGACCACAGATACTCTGACCACAGGGGCTCTAGACCACTTCCCCAATTATCAAGCCTATCAACAGCAGCATTGTTGTCTTATCAGGGATACATTCTGATTGTTATTATTTCTGTAGCGATGAAAAGCTAACAGTCATATACTTAGAAGGAAATCACAATATTAATTGCTCAGGCATTATTACAATAAAGGCTTCACTTTGAGAATCACTTTCTATTAAAGTTCCACCAAATTAAACCACCCCACGTTGTGATTTTTAATAATCCTTCACGATTGTAGCCTGTCAGACTCTATGAACATGATCCCCAATTTGAAATTGTAAAATCTTAATTGGTATAATGTCAGACTGAATGACGATTAAGATTCGTCAAACACAGATTCATCTGGAGTTTGACATCATCAATTCATGACACATTCAGTATACCATGATCTAAAACATAAACAATCTCTAGTGTTAATTTTATTCAAACATGCCTTTTTCATAGTAAAACCAGAAAAGTTTCATACAGGAGTAAATCTGATCACAATCACCATTAATCAGCTGTCAGTAAACCTGTTAAACCAATAGTCAAAGATTACATATTTTAGCCTAGGACATTGTCAGGTTCAGACCACAATATTTTTGTCTGATCCAAAAAAAGCTGTTAGAGGAGCTTATGTGCTTGTGTTGTTTGATATTAAAAATGAGATGGAGCTTGTTGTGGATGACTTAAAGAAATGTTAAACAAACTTACACCTACCACTCGTTTTGCACGTACCCGTGAAGGGGTAGTGGTGTCCTAATACTCTTTAGTTTGAAGGCATAGGGCTAAGGGCAAGAGGTATTCACCCTTTCAAACAAAGACTTTTCAGGACCACACTTGAATCCAAGGGGTAAGAAAAAATTCCCAGAATACCCCAGCAACAGCTGCACCCACAAGTAAGGAGATCCACAAATTAGTATTTTTTGTTATTATTACGAATTTTTACAACAAACAAACACATGTTTTATTATATTCATAATTGCGTTAATGTTTTACCGTCATGTTTTTTAAAAAAAATGCAAAAAAAAAAAAAAAACAATCTTTAAATTTCGCGATCTATTTGCCATCTATAATCCCCAAATCATAACTTTCTGACACTCAATGATACTGGAATACCCTTTCAGAAAAGTCTAGTAAGCTTTTTGTCAATGAGCTTTTTACAGTGTCTGCTATAATGTTAATGCTGTTTTTGTGTGTTTACATTGATGAGTATGGCCACTGTTTTAATTCCACAGTATTACAATCTTATTGCCACATTATGATAACATAATATATGCCTGCAGTGATTTCCTGAAGATAAATACCAAAAAATAACACAACTGGAATCCCTCCAGCAGTCGCGATTGTCTGATCTCATATGAACCAAGAAAACGCAAGGACATATGACGATGTGTGCAGGTACTGTAGTGCTGTCCCAATTCTTAGGCGTAAATTTTAAAGCAAAATAGAATTGGGATTGGGCCATAATGGTAGCTTTTGCCATGCTTTTTTTGTGAAATGAGATGGTCAATGAAAAAATTGCATTCTCTAGTTATTTAAAACTGAGGGTACAGATTGTTTAACCCAACATTTTCTTAAGATACCTATAGTACAAAATTTGTGGTATGTTTGGAAAATAGAGTCCTAATAAATGTTAATAGGTATGATTATGTTTCTTTGTTTGTCAAAATATGGTAAAAATAGGCTTAAACAATCAGACGATCAAGTGTTTACAAGCCCAAAATGGCCACTATGGAAAACAAAACCGTTTGAATACATTACTACAGAGATTAAAATGGCATCATAAATTATGCATATGATACATTTGATAACTTGAATGAGCCCAGCAGGAAAACTACTGGACTCACCAGTGTACATTACTTCATTTGTCATGCATATTTAGTATTTCAGCCAAGCTCGGCAGCATTCGATCTAGCTACTCTTCCTGGAACCTAAATCAAATTGATCCAGTCCTGCGCTGTAAGTTGGGTTGTGGTTGGTTTTACTCCAGACCTGGCAAAGCTCCAAAGAGAAACAGACAAGTAGACTTACATAAGGGGAGGCAGTGGCAGGGGGTCACTTAATAAATCTCTTTAACAGCTCACTTATTGCATGATTATTCTGTCTTAAAATGAATGTTACTCCAATTTGTTACCTAACTTCTCAATTCTTAGAGTTCTTGAACTATTTTCCCTCTTGAAAATCAAATCAGGATTTGTCTAAAATCCTGGTAAATAATGCCAAGATAATAATTGTTATAATATTAATTCCTTACCAGGTGGTGCAGTGGCAAGAAGGTCGCTGGTTCGAGCCTCAGCTGGGTCAATTGGCATTTCTATGTGGAATTTGCATGTTCTCTCCTTGTTCGTGTGGGTTTTCTCCAGGTACTCCGGTTTCCCCCACAATTACAAAGATATGTGGTAAAGGTGAATTGGGTAATCCAAAATTGTCCGTGGGATGTTTCACAGTGATGGGTTGTAGCTGGAAGGCTATCCGCTGCGTAAAACATCTCGATAAGTTGGCAGTTCGTTCCGATGTGGCAACACCGGATTAATAACGAGACCAAGCCTAAAAGAAAATGAATGAATGAATTACTTACCTTTCATATAGCGCTTTTCAAGACACTTTAAGACACTCGAGTGCTTTACACATTGGGGGAGTCCACATGGATGACGCGACAGCAGCCATATTGTGCTAGACCCTAGCTGATTGCTAGGGAGGACAGATGAAGCCAATTATGATATGGGGATGGTTTGCAGGTCATGATGGACAGAAGCCAGTGGGCAAATTGACCAGGATGCCGGGGTTAAACCCCTACTCTGAGCAGTATAGAGTATCTATCAATGTACTGGGGCATTAGGACCCACACAGACCGCAGGTTAATCACCCCTGTTGGCCTCACTAACACCACTTTCAGCAGCAACCTATTTTCCCCATGTGATCTCCCATCCAGGTACTGACGAGGCTTAGCTTCAGTAGGCAACCATGTGAGAGTTGCAGAGAGCTAGCTGTCAGTGAGGATAACAAAGTCTACGACCAAACTAAACAATTTCAAACCCAAACTTTTTTCAATAGCAAAATATTTTTTTATGCGCTTCATTTTAATATAGATCTATGCTACTACTGTGTAATGACAATCATCTCATTTTGAGTCTGATGGGATTATAGGAAAAACACTCTCCTGAGCATAGTCAGAAAATAAGTCTTTTTTTCTTGATGAGGCAATATTTTCCCCCTGGAACCCCCTACTGACACCATTGTTGGCCCAAATTGCTTACTAGTTTAATCTTTAGTTTAGTTCTTTATATAACAGTGCACTACTAATAAAAAGTTGTCTATATTCCCGAAGTTGAAGGAAACAGTCCTTGTAAAACAAAATGTACTTTATTAAATCATGTGAAATAAAATGTAGCTGTAAAAAAAATCTCAAACATGAATTGACTAATTTTTACTGAAAGTCATGGTTCTTTTCTGACCTTGCTTCTGAGAAAGCAACCTCTGAGCAAACACTTATTAGTGAGCTTCAACCTAAAAAGCTGGCAGTATAATAATGGGAGTAGATGTGACTGAACAGAAGCACCATACCATACACATATGTAGAAATGGAATGGAGTCCCATAGATGTGGTCACAAGCATAGTATATAACGGGACACACTAAAGGTTTTATGATCTACACAGATGTGATTAGTATAAAAGATACCACCCACCACCACAACACACACCCATCCCCACCTCTTACACACTCCCCCCTCCCTTATTTCTCTCCGTCTTTCTCTCTCTCTCCCTCTCGCTCGTCCCGTGCCTCTGCAGTGGCTCATTCTTTCCTGCGCCGGCAACAGACACAAACCGCCCCCCCTCCACCCCTCCTCTGTCCACTCATCCCAGCATGCGCCACCTATTCGGGGGTAAGACCAACAGACTCTTCCCCGGACTGAAAGCAAAGCTCTGCGGTGCGGCTGTTGCTGAATGAATGCAGCGTTTTCTTGCACCTACAACCGCACTGAGTGAGACAGAATATCAGCGAGACACTGCCGGCAACTGAGAGCCACTGATCTGAAGAGCAGAACAGCAGATCAGGTGCTGCCTCCGTATTTCTTGCTCTTCAGTTCTCCCTCCCTCCTCAGGACACACTGCGAAGGAGGACTGAGGACAGGGAGGTACTCCGCAAGACTTCCCCAGCTGAAAGTCTTTCTGTTTTGATTTTGTGACGGGTCCCGTGTGACCCCTCAACACCTCTCCCTCAGATCTTAAGTATCCTGCCAAAGACACATAGCAGGGGACCAGGAACAGACAGACAGGCACAAGTGAGCAGACGGTCTGACATGGAGTTGCAGGGGAGAAAATCATTCCTGCACAGGTGTGCGAAGTCTGGCGATGTAGTCCATGCAGGTCTGGTCATCACACTTCTAGTTGGTAAGTCTCTAACAATTTTTCCACCACCATCCCATCCTTGTAACCCTTCTGTAGCCATGTTTACTGCTTAGCCCACCGTAAGCTTTCCAAGTGGGGCGGCTGCCAAAATGCTGCAGTTTTTGCATGCCTTGCACAATTCGAGAGTTCCAAACAAGTCAGGATATACTTGTTGCTGTTTGTGATGGACAATTTGTTTAATGATCCTTCAAGAGACTACAGTCTGGGTGGATTAAGATCCCTCTGCAACCTCTAAAGCTGATGAAACAAATGATGTAAAAGAGTGCAAGTCACTGTGTCACTACATGGTACATAACAAGAGAGTTTGGCATCAATCCTCTAAATCAATCAATACTCACAGTGATCCGAAGCACCAATTTGTACAGTTTTGGTTTATTATTACTCATTCTTAAACATCTACTTTCCAGTGCAGTCAATTCTAAAATAGTAAAGCGACTTTGCCCTTTATTTTATCACCAATCCAGCTGCGCATGTTGTTCTCTAGACTGTAACAGTGTTGATTTTGTGGATGTGGGAATGCATGCTTTACAATATACAGATTAGTGAATGCAAAGTGAATGCAAGCTTTTCCAAAGGACTGTACCCCAAATCTCGAACATTTAAATACATTCTTACTTAAAGATTATTCTCACATTATTTTTTTTCTTGAATACGCTAACTTATTAATATCTGATGATCTAATCTGTTGGGAAAAAAAGGTACAGTATTTGCTTTACCTCGGCAGTAGATGTTTGTGGGACATGCGGCTTCCAGCTTACTTTGTCTTAATGATGTATTGCACAGTGCAAGTCTTGAATCACACTGCACCCCGGTATGCTGAGCTCACTGAATTTCGCCACTGAATTACATTAATTCTTTTTGAGCAGGTGGGCCTGGTTCTTCCACCCAAGCCCCCTCCTTTTTCCCTTTACTGCTTGTGAAGGTGAATTAGAGGCCGCTAAACTAGGTCATTTTCACTCTCTCCTTCATAGCATGAACTCAGACAGTTTATATGCATCCTCTGCATAGTTCCCGGCGGACTCTGGAAGGTATGATATATTGTTATATGTTCACGGCACATCTGTCAGGTTATGAGAAGGTGCATCACTTAGGGGCGAATCATCATTTTGACAAATGACACAGTCTTGCCGGTAGTTTGATTACAATTTATTCTGTTGGTGTGTCTACAATTGAAAGAATGAGAAGTTAATTACAATATGAACAACCCTCACTCGTGTATTATCAGAGTTCATCAAATCTGTCAGCCGGCTTGAAGAAAAAATGGAATTCAGCATTCTGTCCCATAATAGAGAGTACTACTACAAGCACATATGCCATATTATGCAATACAAAACACTTTTGTAACTTACTGATTACATTCAAAGCACACATGTTACAGGTTATCCAACGCAATCTGTAGTAAACTTAACGAGTGCCATATAAGGAAAGGAATCTATAAACAACCTTAGAGCACATGTGTGTTGTCACGGCATGCAGAGCTTGTGAACAGCAGTATCTCCTCTTCTGTCACTAGTACCTCACACCTCAGACTGATTAGGAGCTCATGCTTTGACCACTGAGCAGAAGCCTTAATATTATTGAAGTGCAAGACATTAATTTGCAATGCTTTCATAATTCCTAGAAATATAAATGAAAATGACCGTTTTTTTTATTTTGGTTTTTTTTTTGTTCATTGGTTACTATTTTCAGTTATAGAAACTATAACTAAATTAGACGATACAGTTTTTCAGAGTAAGTTCTAACATTGCGCAATAGGAGTCAAGTGCACATAATTTTATTGTGTTAAAACATGCTAGCAGCGCTTGTTGTCTGCAGTGCTGTTTTCTTTTATCCACTTCAATGATATGTGGTAGGCGATTGGTCTCTTAGCATTTCTTTTGCTGCTTCAGTTGCATAACTTATAAATGTCCGTCTACATCCCATCTTCACTATCATGAAGACATACATCGCTTAAAGAAAAACAGCTTCAACCACTAAAGCTAAAGCTGCTTTAGGAGAAATTCATGTTTGATGTTGTGATGTAAAGGCAGCAAGGTGGCTCAGTGATTAGCACTTTCACCTCACAGCAAGAAGGTTGGTGGTTTGAGTCCAGGCTGGACCAGTTGACAATTCTGAGTGGAGTGCATGTTTTTCACGTGTTTGCGTGGGTTTCCTCTTGGTTTCCCCCCCAGTTGGAGGTTCATTCTGCTGTGGCGAAATTGAGACTGAGCTGAAGGAAAATGGACAACATATGATCATTCTGAAAACGTAGCCCTATATACGTTTCTGGAGATTGCAAATCAAGTAGCCAGAGCTATGTATGGCTGCATATCCTCGTTAAAATGAATGCTACTGAGCGGTATGATGCCGTTCCAATTTTCGCTTACCAGCTGACCGTTTGTCTGTCAGCTCAACACATACGGCGGCGGACTTGAGCAGCAGAGTGGAGTTGACCGTGGGTTTGAATCAGGGGAAGAACAGTTCCTGAAAGCTTGCAAGTCAAAAACAGAAGCCAAAAAATAAAATAAACAAGTAAATAATGGTAAATATGTTAAAATCAGGGGGCTTTTGTTTTTATGGATTGCTATTAAAAAACCCTGCGGTTGGGTTAAGAGAAGTGGGTGTGTGGGTCAATCGGTGCTTTTTAAAATATTGGTTGGTTTTAGGGAAGGGGTTATTGGTCTGTTGGTCAGTTAGTCAGTCAGTTAGTCAACAGTGGCCTTTGGTGGATTTACGTGATTACAGCAGGTGCAAATGGCACTCGCGAGAGAAAATTGAGATCTGAAAAAGCACGATTTTGGTGGATTTACGAAAAACAAAAACTGCAAAAAAATAAATAAATAAGTAAAAAATACTTAGCTCCTAGGGACGTATTTTGCTCTCTCCTGAAATTATATAGGGGTACATAATCAGAAAGAGGCTGGGTTGAAAATGAAAGAAAGAAGTGGTGAAAGTGGTGAAGAGGTGAAAATATTTTTTATTCATTCATTATAATACCTATAATTTGGTTCATATAAGTACCAATAACAATACCTACCTGATTACATGAAAATAATGTTTTTATACTAGATTTACATAACACGTTTATCACCTTTTTGTCTTCATAAAAATAGCAACAAATCAATAAACTGTGTGGACTTACAACTTTAAAGCACCTATAACACTTACAATTTTAAGAGAGGGTATACAGTGTAAAATAAAACTGGTTTAATTTACATGTATCGAAATGTAGTTTGACAGCAATTAGGTTAAAAATCAATATTATAGTGTTAGGTTAGGTGTTTCTTACCATAGAATACAATGCAAGTATCTGTTTGTTTTGGTTTTTGGACGAAATGCTGACTTTTCCCTCTATTTCCATGTAAAATCCTTTCATTAAAATCTACACTGTCGACACAAGATTGCATGTCCTTATCCTATGAGAAGATACTCATCTTAAAGGTATAGTTCACCCAACAATGAAAATTAACTAGCTATTTACTCATCCTTGTGTGGTTTCAAACCTCTGAAAACTATAATTTTCTTTCTATTTTAAAGAAAGCTGGAAAACTGTAACCAATAGCATCCATAGTCGGAAAAACAAACACTATGGAAGTCAATGCAGGCTTTGTAACAAATCAAGAGTGAGTAAATGATCAGTTTTAGGTGAACAATCCATTTAATTACTGATTTCCTGTGACAGATTCCTCAGTTTGTGAAAAGTGATAATTGCATTCTTGGATCTAATATGCTTTTTTGCTTGGCATAAATTGTCATCCACTTACCTTGAACCTTTGACACAAACATGATTCATACATACTGTACATTTAGATGGTCTTTTCTGCTTCCTTGATATAACCGATCAAATCAGAGTGCTTACATAAATGCTGAAAAAGCGTATTTGTGGGAAAAGCTCTTAACTCATTTAGAGTGCAATATCACTGGCTGAATATGGTGTTATGCTGACTGACTCTGTTTAACTCATTCCACTCCACATTTTACCACACAACACATTGGCAGGGTTTTATAAAAACAAATGTGGGTATCCAGTATCAAAATGGGATTTCCTAGTCAGTGCAGAAACAGAAAAAAAAATGCAACTGATAACAGCCTTTTCTGGAATTCAAATGCGAGCAAATATGAAAAAGACTAAATCTAGGCAGAAAGTAATTAGGATGAATAACACAATTATCACATTTGGCCACGTTTAGCTACTTTTCATTGAAAGCAACTGGCAACAGAGGTGGCTGTCAAAGCCAACAGCTGCTCTCCTGATCTTCTTAGTTATGTCTACAGCCTTTGTGGGCAATTTATGTAACCCTAAAATGCATGAATATTTTGAAAATTACTGATTCAGATCTATAGTAATCCAGTAATATCTTCCACAAAATATTCCTCAAAGTTTTTGGTCTATATTGATAGCACCATGCAGTTGCTGCAGATTTATGGGCTGTACATCCACAATGTGAATCTCCCGATCCACCACATTCCAAAGGTGCTCTATTGGATTGAGTGTGGTGACTGTGGAGGCCATTTGAGTACCGTGAAATCATTATCATGTTCAAGAAACCAGTCTGAGATGATTTGCACTTTATGACATGGCACATTACCCTGCTGGAAGTAGCCATCAGAAGATGGGTACAATATGGTCATAAAGAGATGGACAAGGTCAGCAACAGCAATTAGGTAGGCTGTGATGTTGACACAATGCTCAACTGGTACTAATGGGCCCAAAAAGTGCCAAGAAAATTTCCCCCACAACATTAAACCACCACCAGCAGCCTGAACCATTGATACAAGGCAGGATGGATCCTGTAATTGGATGATTAGAAATTTGCATTTGTATGAGCTGTTGTAACCTAATAAAGTGGCCGGTGAGTGTATAACAGGCATGGATCTTGAACTGTTGCAATAGCTTAAAACCTTTCTAATATTTAGCAACAATTACTATTAAAATATGATTTTGTAAGCATTTAATCTGAGCAGAGAATTTTGAAATTACTGTCTCTTTTAGAGCACAATGA